AAGTTGGAAAATTTTTACAACAGTTGCCTCCTGCCCGAATTGATAGATCCTAGATACCCGAGGAAATTAGCAATCCACCACGCCAGTAAACATACCGTTGAAAAGTCTAGTTCACAAATGCTTTTTAGATCAAAACTTTTTGCCGTCTCCTAAAAGTATGGTTGAAGTGTCATTCGATTCAGAATTTTGTTCTGTTTGATAATATAGGTGCATTTTCGAAACTAGAAGGAATTTTATTACGACCAATGTAGGACAACCTTTGTTGAAGATTAAATGATTCTGGCAATAGCCTCATGATAATAATAGAATAATAAAACATCGTTCACCATTGAAAATATTTAAAAGATTAATTAATCTCCAAACGTAAAACAATTACGCTCCGTCTATGGAGTTTGCCGTGCCCCCTCTGTAGTGTGTGTATTCGAGTCGCAACAACATTGACTTGTCGATTTGCGTAATGAATATATCCATCAAGATAGAAGGAGGCGTCCCTTGTTCAGTATGTCTGTGATTGTAAAAATAGGACCGCTTACCATATTCTCAGACATTTACCGTTAGATGCAGTTCGAGGGTCCAGTTGCAGGTATGGAGCGCTCTTAAGGTTATTTCTGAAAGATGATAAGGTTCCCTTTTCATACGAAAACACATTTGTTTTGGTATCTAAAATTCAACGAAAAATATAATAAAACCAACTTATTACAAACGTAACATTTTCCTGTTTGAGTAAAGAAGATCGCCGTACCGCCTGTTACTTGAAACGAAACATTCACGGATTAAGGTATTACTCCGGCTTTGTGGAATATAATCAATTGGATGCCATCCTCGTGGAAAATCTAAAAGGTGTTGATGTCATTTCTGTGCGAGGACATCAAAAACATGACTATGTAAATGCAAAATTTCATGAGTTGGATATACCTACATGCATTGTGAATTTTAGGGGCTAGACAATACGGCATGGTTCACACATTTGACAACAACGAAAATGTCTCATCCTGTATGCATCACATTCGAAAATGAACCAACTACAATTGCAAAAACGGAAAACGAAATGAAAACGATAACGAATAAACGCACGCAGAATGGTTGAAACGTAAGCAGAACGGTTGAAACGTACGCATAACGGTCGAAACGTACGCAAAACAATGTATTTTGAAATGACATTTTCGAATACTTCGCTTCCCCATCGCGCCCACCTTCGAACGTTAACTCTACAAGATGCAACTCCTTGACACTTTTGAATATACATATACGTTTCTCATTGGGATCGCATGTTGAAACGCTAGACTTCCGTTAAACCGACATGTTTTTTTTAAATGATGTATTTTGAAACGCCTTGTACACATATTGATACCAAGTTTTTTCTCTGAAATGATGTATTTTGAGACTCACCCTAAACTACATTGAGGGGTTGCACGTTGAAACGTTGAACTGTCAGGTTTTTTCTTAAATGATCTAATTTGAGACACCCTGTATACTCCAGTGAATGTCCTTTACATTGCCGCTATGTTTTTTTCTTTAATCTGATTCTTCATTCATCCTTATTAATATATGACTTTCGCGCTTCTGATATTTTCATCAACATTTTTTATTTTTATAATTCAACCATGCTCTTTTAATCTCTTCGATACTCCGTCCGTCCTTCTTTGTCTTCATTCATCACTCTGAATCGTCGATGACAGCCGACAAAACAACCGCCATAAATATCAACAATTCCCAATCATTTCCAACATCTCACGTTGGTGTCGAGGCTATCTGGATAACCTCACAAGATGTAACACTCCTTTCATTCATAAGACTTTGTCACGAATCTACTCATGTTATCGATGACAGTACGTAAAAAAATTGCCTCGCCTTGGATTATCAGTCTAGTATCATCTTTCGAGTAACGGATTATTTCCACCGAATAACTCACACTAGTCACACTACAGATATTTCGTAGAAATTTCAATGCATAGTATAATTTTGATATCAATTTTGTTAGTCTACTGCACCAGCAAGGAAGCAAACCAAAACAAAACGATAAGAAGATAAGTTTTGTACCGGCACTTTGTAGCAATGATCTGGCGAATTGGTTGATTGAACAACAAATATAAGAAGAAGAATATATTAGGTTATATCTATACAGTTTAAAATCTTTTTGTTGTTTGATGTCGGTTATGTTTATTTCTGTATTCTGTAGTTACTTTAATAAATACATTTACAGGGTTTCTTGTAATTGATTAACAAGCATCTTGTAATAGTTGTTCACAAAAATCAGTTACTTTTCTTCATTTTGTCTTATCGACATAGAAGGTTGAGCAATAAAACCAGTGCAGTTATAAGAATATGTCCTATAAACGAAAACAGGATTCTCAAGTCCCTGCAGAGGAGAGTGACCAGTTGATTATAAGACCATTGTGAGTATACTAATCAGTTAAGCAAAATAACTAGCCATGGGAATAAAGTCATGAAAGTATTTACGGGGAATAACTAGATCTGAGAATCAATTCAAAGTCAAGAATATATACTTTAATATTTATTGAAACAATAAACATCAACTGTAACATAATCATAGACAAAAAAAATCAATTTACCCATTAACACTTCCTGTAAATTGTATTCAAATGAATATTTAAAATATCAGCACTAAGTAGTGGTCCCAAGTATGTAGTTTTCTCAGTTTTTGAAATCTCAGTCTGCATGAAGGTTTTGTCATTATGTCGCTGGGATTGAATCACATAAACATAAAAAATTTGTAATGTTATTATTGAAATGAGTGCTTCATCTTAAAATATCCAAAATGGTAATGATGGAGTAATAAGATACGTGTCTTATTCCGAAATTTCTAAATATGTTATTGAGTATAATAATGTTTCAAGTATAGCTTTCCTATGATTTATATCTGTTTCAATTATCTAACGGATCATTGGAGTACACAAACTAATATTCGAAAAATTTAATGCTAATATAAAAGTAGTTATTTCAAAAAGTTTTACTTTCGTAGTTTTACTCTCGTGTAATTCATTGTTCATGTGTTCACTTTTTCTACTTCTTTACCCTATTTGTTCTCAAATTGGGTCACAAACATCATTGTTAACTATTTCTATTCCTTTACCCTATTTTTTTTTCAAATCAAAATCGAAACATGTTTGCCGTTCAAACATTCATTACATTTCCTTATTCAGTGTTACTCGAAAGTTGAATATACTATAAGTTACACAAACGCTCTAATGCCTGATGAAGAACTGTTGAAAAAACTTGTTAAATAAGCAATGGCCTTTGTGTCTCATCATAAGATTTGACCTTCGTATCTTAATTAAGACCAGTGAAAAAGATTCATGGATGTTGAAGGGGTATAATTTATGAAGCATGAACATCTCCACTCACAAGACAATATCTATGGGATTGACATAAGACTTAAACTATGGATATAAATGATAAAAGAGGCTCCCAAGATGATTCATTGCAAAGCCAAGTGTCGGCATCAATCGCTAAATGGGATTCTGTCTTTATCTACAGCTTTCGCTGCAAGGCAACTAGTTGAAATCACAACACTTAATCAAAGCATTCACAATCCAATAACAGTATTACTAATAAAAAAGAGAGTTATGAGTCGCCTCTGTAAAGTTAACTCCAGAGATCATGCAGATAAAATATTAACTGAAATTGCAATGTTTATCTGAATGAACAAACAAGACAAAATTCAGTTTACTTACAACTCTTTATCCCATTTCAAATGTTGAGTTTAGTTTAGACTTACCGTCTCCACGACGACTTTAGATAAAAATTCCCTATTTTATAGTGGGGCTAAAATATACAATCATCTGCCAGTTGACTTAAGGTCTGCAAACTCGTTATTTAAAAGAAACGTGAAATAATTGTCAGTAAACCGTTTTATAATTCATAAGAATAGTTTAACAAACCTTTTTAGTATTTTTCAAAAATTAGTTTCATTTGCATATGGCTCGGGAATATTTATTTGCATTGTATGTCTTTAAGATAATAAGTTATCAAACCTTTGATTATTTAAATTTTATTTTCATTATTGACTTGTATTAAAATATTAAAGTCAATTTGGACTCTTTAGGTACATATTTGCAATTATTTTTACAAATAAATCGTTACTTTTCAGGGGTGCAGGCCAAGAAGTTGGAAGATCTTGTATAATGATAGAATTCAAAGGGAAAAAGATTATGGTAATTGAAACTTTATAAATCTTTCTTTGAAATTTATCAATCTGTTTTTTCAAGCTTGACTGCGGCATTCACCCAGGATTATCGGGAATGGATGCATTGCCATTTGTAGATTTAATTGAAGCGGATGAAATTGATATACTTCTCATTTCACAGTAAGTAGAGAAAAAATGGTTTAAAATAATTTACTGCAAGTATCTCCAACTTTCAAAGTGACTACGTAAATCTCTGAAGATGTCAGAAACTGGCACTAGGAATCACACGTTAAAAGGTAAGACCTCGTTAGTCCTTAGCTCGCACAAGTTCTCAACTTCTGAGAGTTGTCGTTCATATGGGGGCGACAGCTGATTAACAGAAAAACAGATTTTGAACAGAACAGACCAGGAAAAAATTCCATAAAACTGTAACAAAATCACAAACATTGAATTTTCAAAATACCCCCATAACAAAATAGACTTTTTAATTGAGTTTTCATTAAAACGATTGAATAGGTGTTTTGATATTGTTTTTTTGTAACTTTTGAAATGCTTGCTATATACAGTGTGGAAGCTAGACGAAACATATATTCAAATAATTCACAAGACATGAATATGCAGTTAACTTGTGGTAAAATTATTTTCAAATGTACGGGATGTGCATGAGAAATGTATATCAAAGTTGTTTTTTGATTGAAATACCCAATTCCAAGATGAATTATGAAAGGACTTTCATTATTGTTATCCATAACTGAATGCAGTCCTTGACAAATATTGCAGTCTTTCAAAAACCTCTTTTCACATGTACAGTATCAGTCGTAAAGAATACATTTCTGGAATTCTCAGGATATTCTTCTATGCAACTCAAATGATTCCCTCAGAGTGTTTACAGGCAATGGGCCAATTCTACCCCATATAACCCATAATGAAGATGTCCCAATTTCCTTTCGAATTATATATTTTGTTCCTATACCTAAAATTGGAAGTTCTCGAGTAAATTACAATTTAAGTTCAGTGATTTGATATTCAGTGATTCAAAAAAATTATGCCATTACTTATTATGTTACGTTTTTCTAATTAGTGTTTTACCATAAAATATCAAATTCACCTTTTAAAAATATTAAAAGTTTTCGAGACACCCAATTTTATTTATCAGTTGTTGTTCAAACATTAGAAAAAACTATAATAGATGTTTAAAATGACTGCCATTTTCTTGTGGACCTGTCCATTATTTCGAATGATCATCTTACATCACTCGACATGGCCGAAGTTATTGTTCTCAAACTGATTCACAATTCTTTTTTTATCCTGAGGAGTTGTAGGTGGTGGAGTGTAAAATACCATATTTTTCACATAACTCCATTTGAAATATCACAGAAGTTTTGTTCCATTCAGATTATCTTAAAAAAAAATTAAAAGGGGTATATTTTAGGGAGAGACTGATTTTTGTGAAAAAAATGTTTTGGCTTTCTACTTCTCCATCTTCATACAATCTGTTTCTGTTTAAAATCTGTTTTTCCGTTAACCAGCTGTCGCACCCCTACGAACGACAACCCTCAGAAGTCGAAACTTGTGCGAGCTAAGGATTAACGAGGTCTTACCTTTTAACGTGTGATTCCTAACACGGTTGGACTGACTGAATCTTCCAAGAAATAGAAGAAAACAATCAATTTCAAAAAAGTAACTCTTCACAAATATGTGTAGATCGTGCAAAGAAAAAAAAAAGAAGGGTTTATTATCTGACAGGAGTAATCCCAATTACAAGACAAATGTAATGTAGTTCACAGATATGAATAAGTAGGTATAAGTAAAGTATAATATAATAATGGGTAAGCTCCATCCAGTTTGTAAGCCATGTATTTCATAAAAATTCTTTGTCAAAATTCGAGTTCATGTATATGCACATAGTATAGTATAGGTGACCTGATTAGGGAGCTACATTCCAGACGAGATCAGATATATGCATTAAAAAGTGTTATAAAACATTCTTGGTTTTGACCAAGCATTCTTTTTGCAGAAGATGTGATTGGATTAATTTGTGACGTGAAGCTGAGTTTCTTATCGAATATGATGCCTAGATCTTTAGTTTCTGTGAATTGATGTAATATGACGTCATTTATTGCATAGTCAAACTATTGTTGTGTTTAAGGGTGTATTTCATGAGTTTACATATTTGAATATTCAGTGGAAACTTGTTTAGTATGCACCATCCATGTATCGAATTAACTTCCTTCTGCATAATAAGAGAGTCTTTTGTTGATTTAATGCATCTGAAAATCTTCAAGTGGTCAGCAAATAGTAATATGTTATTAGAGATATTTGAAATAATATCATTTATAAACAAAGAAAATAGAAATGGAGTTAGATTAATTCTTTGAGGAGCACTAGCTGGAGTGAATTTGAGTGATTTCGGTTGATCTTTTTTAATTTTTCTTTTCAGGGATTTCAAATCAATTTACATTAATTATATTAGACAATGGAAGTCCGAACTGATGAAATACACCACAAAACATTGTCAACCACCTTCAAACATAAAACTAGTAAATTCAACAGTTGACTATCGAAACCAACAGAAAAAAGTATATTTAGTAGAATTTGATGGTTCAATTCATCAAAGACCTTTGAGAAGTATGTATAGATTGTATCCACCTGTAGTTGTTTATCTAACACAGTGTTGACAATTTGTGTAAAACACATGGTAAAAAACAGAAAGTTTCATTTCTCTTTTCTTCTTTATGATTTCTTACCACGTAGTAACGGCTACATCCATCAATTTATTCACATGAGGTTCGTTATTGTTGAACGTTTGTTAATAAAACCATGTTGATGTAGAGTTATACTTTTTCTCACATTATTGTTATACATACACATCTCAAAAAACTTTGCAAAGATGGACAAAATCGTTATGGGTCGATAGTTCAGAATGTTATTTGAGCCCCTGATTTTAATGTTGGACATATTTTTGATACTTTCCATCTATTAGGAAAACACTCTGTCTTCAAGGCTATGTTATAATAATAATAATAGCTTTATTATCCAACAGTTACCCATTTACAGGACAATATAAAATTTTATTCACAATACTTAACCATAAACGAAAAATAAAATGAACAAAAAAAAAAAAACTAATTCTAATTACCTACTTCAAGTACACATTAGCAATTCTAATAATGTTATGAAGGTTAGTGAAGAATAAATCACCATGGGCACAAATGCTATTGAAATTTGTGCATATAACATATATTGGGGAATTGAGCATAATGTTAGTTCTTGCTCTGAGAGGTATAAAAATTGAGATCGTGAAGCTGGCCGTGGTACATTGAAGTTAATTTGTTCAAGAATTTTAGGACAGTCAACTCTCTCATTCACTAACTTGAATAAAAATATGAGCGATGCACATTTTCTACAATGCTCTAAACTAAAAAGTTCCAAACGTTCATATATGACATCATTACTGATACCTCTCTCAGAGTAAGAACCATCTATTCTGAAAATTAGAAATTTACAAAACTTTCTTTGAACTCTTTCAATGGCTATGTTATGAATCTCATGGAATGGACTCCAGACGATATTTGCATATTTTATCTTTGAATATACGTAGGTGAAATACAACAGCTTCATAGCTTTAATATTATGAAAGTTTCTGCAATTTCTGACAATGAAACCATAAGCTCTGAGAGATTCTGAAACTTTTTGTGAAATATGTCTACCAAATGTTAATTTATGATCGAATATTACCCCTAGGTCTTTGATCTCATTACATCTCAGCAAATCTGAATCCTGTATTACATACGGGAATATATGAACCTCTATTTTTCGACTATCTGTTTCTGTTTAAAAATGTTTTTCCGTTAATCAGCTGTCGCCCCCATACGAACAAAAACTCTCAGAAGTTGAGAAACTTGTGCAAGCTAAGGACTAAAGAGGTCTTACCTTTTAACGTGTGATTCCTATAACTCACTACTTTATATTTCTTCACATTGAGTTTCAATTTATTATTGCTACACCAAGCAACAAGAAATTCTAATTGAGATTGAAGATTTACACTATCACCTACGTCCTTAATTATAGAAAATAATTTCAAGTCATCAGCAAAGCATAACCGCTCACAAGCTAAACTCTCACATAAGTCATTAATAAACAATAAAAACATAAGAGGACCTAGGTTGGAGCCCTGAGGCACAGCAGAAGAAGCTATATATGAACAGAACAGAATATTTATTTCCGTGAAATACTACTTACATGAATACATCTACATTTATCATAAATACATTGTTTGCATTTGTTGCGGTATTTCGGCCTAGAAAGGCTTGAGAAAACTATTACCAATTGATATAATTTCTTTAACCTAGAGGGTACAAGATATATAACAGTGGTAAAAATAAAAACTAAAATGTATCTGTAGTATAGGGTTGGTCCCGATGATAATTATATAATGTAATGAATGTGAATAATATCAGATAACGAGTGCTATCAAAATTCAACAGATTTCGTGTACGTAACACATTTTCAATGGTTTATTGATTGAAAAAATTCATCCAGGCTGTAATAGGTGTGCTGTTTCAGGTATTTTTTAACTTCACGTTTGAATTTTTTTTTGGGAAAGTGATTTGAATTTGTCAAGAATTTCATTGTACACCTTAATGCCTGTGTAAAGTGACCCTTTTCTTGATCTGTCGTACCTGTATGTGGGTAGTAAAAAATCTTGATTTCTTGTTTGGTAGAAATGTACGTTTGCAGGTCTCGTCAGTCCGGTTTTTCTCTTATGAATAGTGAGAACTATTTTGAGAATGTACGTATTATAGAATGTTGGAATATTTAATTTCTGGAAATGGTTTCTGCAGGAGTCTCTTTGTGTAAGGTTACATAAAATTCGTATTGTCTTTTTTTGAACAATGAAAATATTTTTTGCATCTTTTGAATTACCCCAGAATTCGATGCCATATTGCATTGAGGAGTGAAAGTTGGCAAAATAGACTGTCTTGGCAGCTGATACGTCTAGGTTCTGCTTAATAGTTCGAATTGCATAAAGGAACTTGTAGAGTTTTTTGTTCAGTTGACTAACGTGTTCTGTCCATCTCAGGTTGCAATCCAAATGGATGCCTAAAAACTTTGTAGAATTTGTCGGAATAATGACCTCTTTATTCATTTCAATATCAAATTCTGGAATATAGCTATGA